ATTTGTGGCAAAACTGTGTAGAGGACTAAGAAATTCTGGTTGTATGGGCAAGGCTTGGGTTAGAAGTGATGGAAGTAGTAAAAGGGTATATATAGTTCCACAACAGCATAAGTAATCTAAATAGCCTGATGTAGGGCAAGTAAAGCACTTGTGCTAGCAGCTAAACTCTTGCCCCCCATCTGCAGAGTTGTGATGACTTGTGGATGCTACTTCAACTTGTACGTAGCTATGTAAAGAATATTTTTTACATCTGTTTGTTTCAAATTTAGAGTAAATGGTTAATGAAGGAAATGTGTCAGTTCTGCAGTGCCTAAACTAGTAGTATATCAAGTGAAAATAAACTTGGCTCTGTTCTTTTTGCAGGTAAAAAACTGGGTTAAGGAATTAAGAAAAATGTTGGGAAACGAAATCTGTTTATGTATAGTAGGTAAGTCTGTCTTTTTTAACATGTGAGTCTAGTGACAGAATCAGAAATGTTTCTTCTGATTGTCATTGTCCAAGTACTGCTTTGACAGCTTGTACGTATCAAGAGGTAAACCTTATGTTAATTTGCTATTTAAGATTTAGCTGGGGGTAGAAGTTTCAGAAGATCACGTTGAGGAAAATAAGAGTTTGTTTTGAACAACAGACTCTTAAATCACACACCATGTCAGAAGTACATGGTACAGACACCTGCAGACTAGATTTTAACGAAGAGAAACAAAACCCTCAAATGTGTATTATCCTTCTTGCAAGTACTCAAATGTCACGTTATTTACTGTTCTCAGTGTTGTAGACTGGATGCTTATCTGTTTTCATAATCAGGTGCTTGGGGGTGGCATGAGTCTTAAAGCTTGGATAGTTAAATGCAAACAATGCAAGAGAAATACTGGATTTAAATTTAAGATCAGATCAAGTGATTAAAACTCTTTCAGGAGGATAGATGTATGGATATTCTACAAAAAAACACCTCTGCACACAGATAAACTGCTAATAAATTAGAAAAGCAGAATGCTGAATCAGTGTCTTATATGGAGGTATTTAGCTGTCCTGATCTCACTACAGAAGTGTAACTTCATTGCCTGTAAACGCTTGAGTGAAAGGAGACTCTTAAATCATATTGGGCTCCAAACTGAGACTTGTTTAGGAGTTGGTCTTTACTGGGATGGCTTGTAAGAAATTGATGGGGTACAATCATTACACGACTGCTTTCTTTTGAGTAACATGGGAGTACAATGACTTGAAAGATTAACTTCTTTCCAACAGGTAACAAAATAGACTTGGAAAAAGAGAGACATGTTTCAGTGCAAGAAGCAGAAACGTAAGTTACACCAATTATTAATAGAAACAGTCACTGCAGAATTAAACTGGAGTAGTAAACTTGTGATACTGTTAACAACCAGCAGTGCATAGCTGGCTGCTATGTGAAGTGTTCCGTTAGTGTCTGAGTGCCAGAACGTCCTTCCTGACCAAAGTGTAACTTGAGAGTTGTACATGAGAAAAGTCACCATTTGTGGTTTAAATGCATTTCTGGATGTGAATCTTTATTTCGTCTAGTGCTTTTCATCAGTCATGGCAGATTTAACAACATAACCTACAGGTGTTGGTTTAGTGTAAAGAATGGATTAACTCTGAACTCAGAATAAAACCTCTTGTGATCATCTTTTTGCTTCATGTAAAGCCTTAGAAAGGTTGAGTCCTTTAGTACAGTGAAGTTCTGTATCTGCATTCCTACAGGTATGCTGAATCTGTTGGAGCAAAACATTATCATACTTCAGCTAAACAGAACAAAGGAATTGAAGAACTGTTTCTTGACCTTTGTAAAAGTAAGTATTAACTAGTTCGTTGGTAAAAAGCTCGTTCACAAAATGTTGAAGGCTTCAGAATGCTTAACCATATAGCAAAACCTTAATGTAAATTACTACTAAGAACCACCTTCATCTGAGTCGGCTTCAAGCCGCTTGTGTACTGTAACAGCTATGGAAGCTTGATGTATGGGTGCTTACAATGCTGCAAATTCTTGCTGTACTCCAGAAACGTCTGTCATTTGTTGGAGCACTGACTGCTGGTTCGCTCAGCCTGTGTAAATAGTAACTTCCAATCACGCTTCACGTGACTGGTCTCACTTCAAACCCTCTGTGTTAACCTCTTTTGAAAATTCTCTCAAATAATGTCAAGTACAGATCGTAAAAGTGGAGTTGTAATGATGCAAATTTTACACAGCAGTCTAAGCAAATGGTAGAGATCACGGAATGTAGGATAAAAAAGTTGTAACCCAGGGAAGTTGTCCTATTCATTCACATACTTATGAGCAAAAATTTAAGCAAAACTTGACCTGCATGTTTTGGGGTTTTTTTAGGGGGTGGGGTGGTATGGTATGTGTGTTCTGTGGGGGGGTTCTTGTTTGCTTTCTTTAACAGAATGTTCTTTATATGAGTGGGTAAACCTAGCTCTTAAAAGTCACTGACTCCAACACATCTGAGCATCTAAGGTCTCCCTTAATCAGCTGGAGCTGCTGGATGCTTGGTGCTTTAGGAAGTTCTGAGAATGTTGCTGCAGCTACACCCTGTGATACCCGAGTGCTCACTTCTGCATAATAAATAGGAGAACCATTCTAGCTGAACTTTGTGCATGTAACTCAAGTAGATTAAGATTTCCAAGTCTTAGATGACATTCCACTGCATTTTATAGAATGCATTTTTTTCTTTTACAGGAATGATAGAAACTGCTCAAGTGGATGAAAGAGCGAGAGGCAATGGTTCCAGTCAGTCAGGAACAGCGAGGCGAGGTGTACAGATCATTGATGACGAGCCACAAGTACAGAGCAGTGGAGGGTGCTGTTCTTCTGGATAACTATATAAAACTGTGCATCACTGCCCTCTCAGTATGAAGACTGCCATATTCCAAGTCACGCATTCTTTACCAATGGAGTAATAGAATTAACAGTATTTAAAAATAATCACATGTAACACTGCAGAGACCTTAAGTGCTAAACTAGTGGCGTCTGTGACCAGAGAATTGGCATTTTCTACCGTGGTTAACAAAGCAATTACCAATGGCCTTTTTACATATTTTTCTTTAATGAGGAATAATATGCATGTAGAAAAGACCTACTTAAAGGCTTCATTTATATTCTTTTAAATCAGATCATTATTTAATAACTTATATACATTGTTGTTGGAATGGTATACATTTTTGCAGCTCTTTGTATTTTGTGGTAGATTGAATTGTATCACTTCTAAAATGCAAATTGATTTTTTTTTTTTAAATTAGCAGATATCTGAGGTAATATTTTTTGCAGGGCCTCCACAAGCCTATAACTGTCAACTACTTTGATATATTCTGTTCATCCTGTATGCCAAGCTGGTAAAATACATTGTAAATTACATATTAAATATTTTACCTGCTTTTACAATTGCAGGTGCAGAAATATGTACATCAGTCTTGTCAGTGATTGTGAAGTGAGTAAGTCAGTGAAAGATGCAGGCTTTTCATGTGTACTGTTGAATTGCTTGTTCTATTCCCCCTACCTGAAAACAGCTCTTTTTGGTACATTCATAGCTATGGCATTTTTTTAAGCCTTTTCTGGCAAGCAGCAGTATTTAGAGTATCCCCTTAGTGGGAAGAGAATGCTTCCTTAGGCTGCTGTTTAACATTGAGGTGTCTGACTCCCAGCCAAAACAGTTGGTGCATGCGTATATCCTGCCTCTGCAGTTACTTTGGCCTCTCAGAATATCCCCAGAAAAGTCCAAGCAACTTTAGCCCTCGTCTGTCTGGTAGCCAGTGAACCAGATGCGTGGGAAACTGCATTAGTACATTAGTGTCCCAAGAGAGCATTATGACCTATTAATGAGCATAATTTTTTTTCTCCCCCTGTATTGTAGGTCTTGAGTGAACAAATTAATTGGCATTAACTAGAACTGCTTCTGATTTGGAGTGATTAAATGGAAGATATGGAACTTGCCAGGTGTAATTGTAACTTAGGGGATACTAGACAGAACTGAACTTTCCCCTGACTTGCTCTTTCTCTTATAAAATGTTGTGAAGCCTGCTTAAGGTTTTGGGAGGAGGGTTTTCAGAAAAAGTGTATAAACTACTATCACAAAGGAACACAACTGGTGGTAGCTGAAACTTCAGATTGTTTTGTGCTCTGACATTTTTTTTTTTTACTTAAGTTGTCATGCTTGGAAAAAAAACCAGTAAAAGTGATGTCTATGACAAATTAGAATATTCCTTGGCCTTCCTTTTTCTGAAGGGTAGAGTTAGTGTTGCCTATGAATGCATTGAATGGTGTGCTTATGTTCTGATGCACAAATGGAGTAGCAGTAACTAATCAGTCTGATGTGTAAAAAGTGTGCTGTCTTCAATCTGATTTTTAGTTTCTCTGAAACAATAGATGGCTTTGATACAGACTGGTCCGGGTGAATTTTTTTCCCCTTTCTGCCTAAACTGTGGTGTAGATACTTTCTCTTAAGGTACCATTGCTGGGCTCTTCTGACATGATTGTATGCATGATGACAGAGGTGAGCTGTTCATACTAATGGAGATGAAGCTTCTTGACTGCACGGAGCTTTGGTGTGAATCTAAAATTCATGATTATATGTGTGTATATGGATCAACACCATTAAGTTAACATTCTCATTGCATCTAGTTTAACAGTGAGCCTTGCCAAAGTTGTGAACCAGGTCATTTTGATCTAAAACCACTACTTTCAAATCCCTACAGTTAGATGAAAGTCAGTCTTGTAAGTGATACAGTATTGATATCAGGAGTAAAATTGGCAAGGCTCTATGTTCAAGACTGGAATCTCCTCATAATAGGAGTTCGAGATTTTTTGATTCAATTGTGGTGGTTTTGGTGGTTGGGTGTGTGGGTTTTTTGTTGAGTTTTTGGGGTTGGTCCCCCCCCCCCCCCGACATGGGGGATGGAAGAAGCCCCAAACAACCCAACCTCAACTAGACTTGATAGGCAGATGCATCATGAGGGCTTATCTGCTCCAGAGCATACAAGTTTTCTTCAGAGCAGAGTCTTCTCCACTTCAGTGGACAGATGCAATTCTGGTCTGGAAATTAGTACTAGGTGTTTACCCAAGAGAATGTTATGTTTAACTGCTTTGGATTAGATCTTTCTGCCTGCAGCTAAGAGTTTCTGTTAGTGTGTTCTATGGTAGGGGCATTCTGTGTGACTTTTGTCAGTTACAAAATGGAGCCATATTGATACTAATTCTAAAGTCTCTTACAAAACTATCACTACTGATGACTTAGGTGTTGGTAAGGAAGCTTACAATTTTGTATGATGAAGGTTCTAGTTGGTGTTGGCAAATTTTTTTTTTTTTTAATTCTCAGATAATTTTTTTTCATTTTGTAGCTTGAGATACTCTCTGGAAACCCTCTTGCCTAGGCTGTAGTTCTGATGGACTTTATTTATGGAACTTAACCTGTGCTTAGTAGAGTATCCTTATATTACCTTACAAAAGAAATACAGCTTCATGAGTCAGGGAGTTTGGTTTCCAAAACAAGTAAAAACATTATGGATTGTTTAGGCTGATTAACGTAAGACTTCAGCTAGTTGTTGTTAGCAGATAAAACCCAACAGTTCCAGGGAAGAGCATCTTCAGTAAAGCTATCTAATGTTCTTTGCATTAAATATATAGGAAAGCACAGATAACTTGGCTTTCTGTACTTGAGCAGGGTCTCACTCTTAGTAACCTGGTGTTACACCGTGCAGCTTGGTTTTCAAGTCTTGCATTTGCTGGGGTCTTACCTCAATTGCCTAGCTTGCGTGTCTTAAGGAAAGCTGTTTTCTTACTGTGAACTGCTGTTCCTGAAAAGTAAGCTGTCTGCCATTCTTCTGAGAAGAGTACAAGAGAAAACTATGTCTCTTAAAAAGTACCTGTGTTGTGGGAGAGGTAAAACCAGCCAGGCGCCTGCTACAGCACGTAAGTCAACACTGAGCACACTTCTCGGAGGAAATTTTAGCAAAGATTACTTGTATATGCTATGCTAAAAAAGGTCTAATTTACAAATACCTTTCTGAAACAACTTTAAGTACTTGCTCAGAGTCTTGATGCTGCTGCTATGAGTACTTGAGCTACTTCGATTACTTCAGCAAGTGATGAAGTTTATGACAAACCAAAGTCCAAACGCTTTAATGCAGCAGTATGTATCACCGCTAGGAGTTACTTATGGACACACTCTTATTGCAGTTAGACTGTAGTTCAGAAGTTACAAAAGACCAGATAGACTGATTCAGACAAGGGCACTAATAAATTCAGATGTGCAGTACTCAGAGATGAGTGTAACTTGCTGTAAAGGTTAGGGGTGACTACCTCATCTGGTTTGCAGTGATCTCCCATGTGGTTCCAAGGTGGGGACATCCAACATCCAGATGAACTGTATTGGCTGGGCTTTTGAAGCTGTCAAGTAATTGAGTGTTGCCTTGGCTACACACTTTCCTTCAATGTTCACCCCTTGTGGCCAGGCATTCTGCCACATAAAAAAGGGCTAAGGAATACTGTTTATTCCTGCCACTTGCATTATTCTAGCATCTCTGCCTACAGCTCTTGAAGAAACTAGTGATTTGATTTCTACTTTAGATTACAAGCCAGATGAAAAAAGCTTTGCGGTCATTGAAAGTGGTTGGAGCTCAAATGGATTTCTCAGAGAATGTTGGATGCTGTCAGAAAAAACAGTTTAAAGGAGGTAAGATGAATGGGGGTCCTGCCTGAGGACAAATGGAGGTCAGGAATCTCCACCAGCTGGAGGCAGTTAAGTGGTATGAATGATAGAGTATGGAAGTGAGAGTTGCAGCCAGGCACTTAGGTTAGTTTTTGGCTTTTTGTGGAAGAAGTAGAAAGAAAAAGGCAAGTAGGAAAAAGTGCGAGTGCTGGTAGTGGGCTGCTGAGTGAGATGCTGAGTAACTGTTTCTTGGTGGAGTTGCTAGCATGTCTTTTCAGCAGTGGTAGTTGCATAATCCAAGGTTGGGTTTCCCTTCTGTGAAATACTATTTACTAAGGGAATAAAGCTTTGAACAGGCTTTCAGACACAATACTAACCTACTTAAAACTTTAAGAATATGCTAACTTCTGGGCTATTTAAGGTAACTTGTTTAATCTTAGTTTGCATCAAAGCTTATCCACAACTTTTCTTGTCAGGAAAACGGATAAAGACTGAGATCCTTGGCACTAGTTGTTACACAAGCTCAACAAAGACAGCCCCAAAACTAGCACTCCCTTAACTGTGCTGAACCCTTTTGCTCATGCTACTTTTAGGGGATTCTGCTCAACATCAGGATTTGTCCCCTATTTAGGACAAACCTGTGCATCTCAGTGATGTAGCAGTGTACTGAATTTAAGTACTTTTTATCAAATAACAACGATGTATAGTCTTCACTCTTCAATTTTTGGAGCTGTCATTGGCTGCTGTACTGAGCAGGAAGAGATGGAGGAACTTACTGTAATTCGATTAAAATGACAAATTGCTCTACTTCCAAAATGACTTATTTCAAGCTGATCTATTTTGATTCTTAATTTTTTCCAAGACTTAAGTTTACGAAACTTGGCCAAAACTTTTAACTTGATGGGTGTGTTCTACAGCCCTAAAATAATGTCTGTGACTGTAGGGAGGAGCTGAGAGCTGTGTATTTACTCATTTCCACCGGGCAGTTTGGAGGTTTGATTGTGTTTATTCAATACCAGGATGTTGAAAGAAAAAATGGAAAAATAATTGTTTCCATCTATTTCCACTGCTTTGCACGCTCAGGCAAGCAGCATGACCTGTGCAGCTGCAGAGTGAGCGTGAAAAGAGGGCTCCTGTCACTCTCCTCCCTCATGTTAGATGCACTGATCCTTGTTGTTAATGAACTGCAACAGGAAGCTTGCTGTGCTGGAGATCCTCCTGTACAAGAAATGTAACACATGTTCTCTGCTTGCTTCTCTAGCTTTCCTAGACAGTGACAGGTACTGTAGCAGCAAGACCCAGTTCCTCTCAGTTTGAAAACGTTTTTTATGAAGAGGAACTCTTATTTCTTAATTTTTTTTTTCAGTGTACCTAGTCTTGCTGATCCCTTGCAAGGGGTTTCAGTGCTCGATTGTAGGTCACCCAGAAGCAATCCAATTTGAAAGTATGATAAGTAGCAGTACTGGAACAGTCTTCCCCAGCAATTGGTCATATCCTGCCTCCAAACCAGCGAAGAGAGAATATTCAAAGTCTAATGGAGAATCCTTGCTACCTCTGGTACCTGACCTCCTGATTCTTGGCTATTGGAAGTGACTTAAATCAGAGTAGAGAGGATTGGAGAGAGCAAGAACTATTTTCTCATCTGTTGCCAAGTAGTTGATACCCTGTGGCAGGTCTGAACTCACGTAGTGGATCTCTTTTGAGCTGTTGAAACTGCTGAAATGCAGGCCCTTCTTAAAGTTAACCATCACTCCATTCTGAAAGTGTGGTTAACTTTTAGAAGTTAGTCCCATTCGCAGTGCAAGAGAAAAGTAGTTTCTCTTTTTTTAGAACAGGAAACTTAAACTGCCTAATCAACAGGCTTTTCTTAATGGAAAGAGAAAAGTACTAGATGCCTAAAGATTTAAGTGCTGTCAGTGCTGTTTGATCATACAGGCATTACAAGGGTGGTCTTACTGGATTTTTCTCATCAGATAAGCTTATTGCTCAATCAAATAGAATGCTCTTATTTGAACCCACAGAAAATGTTAGCAGGGCAAAAGCCAATGATGAAAAGGACACAGCATTTTTAATATTGGGTAACTTGTCATTGTCAAAATGTTAGAGAAATATTCTATTGGGCATTTGTGGATAAAAGAAATCTTGGGGGCGGGGGGGGAATCCACCATACTAAAAAAAAAA